ATCTATCTATCTATCTATCTATCTATCTATCTATCTATCTATCTATCTATCTATCTATCTATCTATCTATCTATCTATCTATCTATCATCTATCTATTGAATTACAGCAAAGAAAACATGAAAGGAAGAAATGACCCCACCACCACCACCACAGCCACTGGAAGAGAAAATGCATACTATTTAAAGATTGAGCAAAAATTAAAGCATGGGTTATGCCTGAAAAATATTTGTCACAACTTTTGTGTTGTAATGGGGGTTAAGAATTTGCTTGAATGAAAATGTCAATTTCTTCTTGCGGTTGGGGCTGTTAGCAAACAATGAACAATACTGAAACTGCAGAGTGAAAGGGGGAAATCTCCACCATCATATTAACATTGCATTGAAACAGTTCACCACTTCCTCCCCATGCTATTTGATACCCAAACTGTGAAATCTGCTACCATCAGATTTGGCAGCGTTTTTAGGATAATAACATTTTTAACAGATTAACAGAGTTGGACGGGACCTGGTAGGTCATCTAGTCCAACCCCACACTTCTGCAGATCTTTATCGCTCTATATGTTAAATCATAATTCCACTGATTAGCCATCAAGTCAGTATCAACAGTGGCAGAGTGACCGCATAGAATATGACTGGAAATTCATAAGGTTCTTTTCAAGTTGACTATGAATTAATAATAACAATTTGATTGACTTTTGTATGTTATAACCCAGGGGCAATCTTTTTGTGCCTTCCTGGGAAGACTAAAAATAGCATACTTTGCTAAATTCCACAGTTTGGCCTTCAAATGTCAGCATTTACAAACTGCTGTGGAGATTACAAAAGGGGCTTGGTGGTGGGATTCCATGGGAACTTAACTCTAATTTGAGAACCCAACAAAAAATGCAGCAGAATCAACTGAAACCTTGAAACATGTAATTTCAACATATCCATCAACCATTAAGGGGCTTGATAAGAAATGAATAATGAGAAAGGGGAACTAAAGCAGAGAAGTCTGTATAATAAGAAAGAATTTTTGAAGCCTGCTTTGAGGGGGAATTTACAGACTTTAACCCAGTCTGAGGGTGGCTTTCCTTGCAGGAAGGCAATTCCTACCATTTATACAAATCTTGTCAGCAGCCTTTGCTCTTCCAAATAATTAGTTATCCAATTTGCATGACAAATGTTAAGAGGATAATAGCCTTTTGCTACTCTAGATAAGGCTTCTGAGAAGCATGCTTTAAAACTGGTAACATTTCAGTGTTTGTGTTTTCTCTAAATCAAGACTAATTAAAATATTGTGGGATTTAAACTTATCAAGCTTAAGTGCTGTTCTTCTGTCAATTTTTGAAATTCTCCCATGGGCACTTTAACTAAGTTCCCAAAGCATCCCAAATGTATTTGGCTATAGCATTATTCTTGACCTTATACAAACTTTCAAGATTAACTGTGGGGATGTTATGATCTTGCCAACTAAAAATAAAACTCTTTAAAAGTTCTTTCCCACCATACATTTATGAGACTAGACTACCAGTGTTCACCATTATTATTGTTTTTAAAAAAAGGCAGACTGGAAAAGAAGAAAATTTAATTTGGATTGGAATCCAAGTTATGTTCGGAACATGACAGTTCAGTGCCATTTCAAAATTAAAACAAGGCTGATTCTTTCACACTTCTTTGTTAGTATTATTAGGTGTCTTTGAAACAACTTGAAACAATTTGGTCTTTATAAATTGCCGTGCACAGGAATTAAGCATTCCATTCTCTTAAAAGTCTGCACTTTTTTTCCCAATCCAACTGTTCTGAAAAGCATTGCGCAAAACATTTCATAATTAATGTGGGTTTCTTCCTCACATTTACCAGAAATCCCTCAAGAAAAAAGAAAAACCAAGGCTTTCCAGCTGGTTGTGAGAAGGGCTAATAAGACCAAGGCTTAGGGTGTTGATCTCAGCTTTCCCCATCGATCTTTCCCCATACTGCCAGTAATGTAGAAGGGAGGACAAAAAGAACTTATGGAGGGCTCAAGGCCATTCTAAAGGATAACTTATTTAGGATCACAGCAGATTTTGCAGATTATTACACTTCCTGTTTCCAGGAAGTGGAAGACCGATAAAAATGGAACCATCAAAGATCCTCCTGTCTTCAGTCGTTTTTCTCCAAGTTATTACGTAGAAGAATTTCTGGGAAGGACGTGCTGTGGCATTAATTTAGAAGAGAGTGTGTTACATTTATATTGGCAGAGTACAATTTCTGAACCGGGGAAACTCAGTCCCACAATTCCAGGTTTGGCCATAAAGCATCTTGAGATTGTTTTTATTATTGTTGATGTTGTCACCAATATCAAATGGAGAAAATACTTCCAAACTGCTGTCCTTTGAGAGAGCTAGGTCACAACATTCCTATGCTGAACTATTTACCACCAGTTTGATCAGAGATGAAGATACAAGTGTTGCAGTGGAAACATGTTTCATTCTGGCAGAAATTTAACTGATTCATCCCTCCCCCACTGTGGACAAGCTGCTTTCAAAAGTTAAGCTGGCCACAGATAACCACAATCCATAAAAACACTCAGGCTTTCAGACAGAATTATTATCTTCGCACTCACTTGCCTAACAAGCTAAAATATGTACAATGAAGTTAGAAGATGGGAACTATAGACCTTTCCTTATCAGTCTAAATATGGGCTGGAGCAGCACGAAACAGGCAATAGACCCAGTGAGAATAGGTTTTAGGAAGAACCAGAACCAGCCATCTTTCTCCATAATAGCTCTAGATGTAAGGAGTCATAACAACCATTTCTATATTTAGGATTGGAACAGAACTTTTAAGTGAATGAACTGAAATGAAAAGTTTCAATGAACTTTTAATAATGAAAATGACATTCCGGTCTCTTTTGGTATAAATTCTAACTGTCCCAATCACATATAAACTGTTCAGGTGTATGGACAAGGATTTGGTTTAAGAACAAAAGTGGAATGTAGGCAGAAGCATTTTCTCTCCAACAATGGGGGCTTCTGGTTCTTTTCTATTATCACTCCATTAATCAAAGACAGAGAATGCTTAGAGGAAAGACCATAAGAACTTTGTTCATTCTTGAAAGATGTATTGGCACTTACACATCAACCTTTGTGATAAAATAACCCTATCTTATGTGGGCTAAAAAAAGGGGGTGGCATAGTTAATTACAATTGCACTTTGCTCCCAATTTTATATCTGGGTAGCTCACATCTACGTTCTGCTATTCTCACATCTAGCTTGGTCTTAAAACAGTACAATGGCTTCCAGTAAAGATGGAATCAAGAAAGAGGACTTTAGGAAAAAACAAAATTCCAGTGGTGGAAGCCTTCTGTCTAAATGTTTTTAAAAAAACCAGTCAAAAGCATACCAGTGGTGGAGCTGAATAAATTCTGGGAAAGGAACAAAACACAAAACAAATAATTTATTAGAGGAGCATTCAAATTATCTCAAATCGTTCCTTGCAATCCCTTTCATTACAGAACCACAGTGCTTACTGCAAGCCACCCATTGCTAGAAATAAGCATTCCAGGACTTAGAAAAATATACTGCTGTCAGTTAATTATAAGTTATGAAACATATTTAGTTGACTTGTGATGACCAAATACTTTCCCTTGAGTTTGCCATTGGATATTCAAGGATCAATAATGCATAGTACTTTTCTATTGTTGCTAAGTAGCTTTGTCTATCTTGCACATCTCAGACAGAAATGCAGCTTCTTTAGGCAGTTAAGGACTCGAAGATAAATCTTGCTGTTTCAAATTTTACATGTGTGGCCTATAGAATTTGTTGACAGCAAAGTAGGCTATGAACAACTAAAGGCATTTCTATCATGATTTGTTATCATGTCCCATTGTACCTGTTATTACATAAAGGCACTGTGTTTTTTCTAAATGAAATCTGGGTCACTGACCTGTAATAAAGTTTGTCTTGACTTAAGGTTGGACATACCAGTAGTTTTTAGTTTTGCTTCATAGTATACATTATATATACAAGTGGTTTTGCATCACATGTGCAACAGCACAATTTGACATTTCTAGGTATAGAATAAGTAGTAGAGCTAAAATGGAAAACTTTGAAGTGGAGGATTAGCAATGATGACACAAGAGCCACAAAGTAGAATAATCAGAAATAACAATTTATTGTGGTGGAGAGATCATTGGTAAAGAAATCTAGCAGTTTGGTACAGGTTTTTTTAAATTAATTTTCTTCAAACTACCAATGAGAATTTTTCAAAAATTACCGAAACATCTGGGGTCTAAACAACTGTAGAAATAAACTATTGATTTGATCAATTTGCCTGCATCTTTGTCTTTGTGTTGTTTGCAGTGTATATAATAGGATATTTCAGAACTATCCAACAATTGAAACATCCAATTCTGACACAACAGGAAAACCATTTCAAAACAAAAATGATCAACAGAGGGGCAGCAATTAGTCTTGCAATAAGCCTTGTAATATTGTCCAAACACAACCAAAAATACACGAGAAATGTTTAGATCATACATGACTATGATCTGATTGCCTAACTTTCAACTAACAGCTACTCATCTGTTGATCATTTTTGTTTTGAAATGGTTTTCTTTTGTGTCAGTGTTGGATGGTTTAATTGTTGGACTGCCTAGAGAATCTCTATGAAAATCATCTAGTCTTGTAATTAATATATACACTAGCTATTTCCTCAAAACAGGATTTGCTAATTTGCATTGAATCTTTGCCAAATTGATCAGTCAGCAAAGAAAAGTTAAATACACCCAACAGATGGTATATGGTAGTCTATCCATTGAAGAAGATCAATTACTCACAGCTTTAAGGGAACCAAATTCTCCCTTCTCAGTAATGTACAAACATGACATAAAGAATTCAAATACAAAACTGCAGAAATCTTGTCTTTTAGCTCAATGATAAGAAAGTTCAACTTGAATAGCCTATCAAATGTAGCAATTTATACACTCATTGTTTGGAACAAAAAAAATTCAGATATTTGTCTTTGATACATAGATTCACTACAAGAAACGTAATGACTTTTTGCAACCTGCAGCTTCAGCTACTTCTTTTACATTTCCACTGGTACTGTATTTATGGAATACAAGCATGTATTTCATGTTACTTTTCAAATAGACAGTTATCCTATAAACACAGAGAGAGGCAGAATAGAGACAAAGAGGCAGATAATATTGAAAAAGAGAAACGAGTTCTAGAAAAATGGGAGTGCGCCGTAGTTGAAGAAGTGGAAATTATTATAGTAGTTTCACCCTTTCTCCTATGTCACTGCAGACCCTTATTCTGTATAAATGGGGCGGGGGGGGGTCTATTCAAATATTGTACAAAGGGTTTAAATTCATTATAAACAGCAGGAGAAGTCCTATCAAACAATACTCTACTGGTGATCTAGTACTTCAGAGGCACCTGTGTTTTCAACAATCATACTGCTAAAAGTATGGATACCTTTGAAGACTGAACCAACAGATATATTTTGTTACTACATGTCAAACATTAGATGATATTCCTTCTTTTATGGCAAAGTATTTCTTTTAAACCCATAATCTACAAGGATTCTTAGCATAACAAATTGATGCTTGCCATTATGAAAATAATATATTGACTATTGCTCCCATCAAGCTTTTTTCATTATCAGCAGGATTTATTTTAATATACAATTACATCTAATTAAATGTTTCCTAAGTATTATAACTATCCCCCATTAATTAAAGACATTTTGAACATCAACACCCTATTGTTCAAAAATCTTCTGACTAGTTTACTGAAGAATTTGTACTCAGATGATAACTTGTTTCCCTATTACGGAAAGCATAGCTAGTTAAATAAATGTGTCTTAACCAGTAGTGACCCTTATTTTGACTGAGCTTCCATTGTTATGGTTCTGAGAATGGTGAAACTATTTATTATTTTTACTTATTTTACCTTATTAACTTATTTTACTTTCTTCCAGGAGATTTACAGTTGTGTGAAAGAACATTAAGCAGTTAAAAATTAACTTTTAAAAATCCTGCAAAAAATACCTGTCTTTATTGATATTTTAATAGTCAGTTGAGCAAATTGCATTTGCTATTATTCTTTTTTTTAAAGAACCATATGTTATATCCATTTTCATTAGTCAACTAAAGAATTTTTTTAAAGAAAAAGAAATGCATTGCATAATAGTGTCTATTGACCACATAAAATCAAAGGTACATGAAATATATTAAAATATTGTTAGAATTTCCAAATGCAGAGGAAATACTTAGCATCTCAGACGGTCTTTGTAATTAAATCAAGATGCAAGAGGAATGAGTAGACTGTTCCTTTATTATTGAGGATTAGGTGTTAGCAAGGAACTGAATAACAAAAGTTTTATCTAATTTATGTAATAATAAAAAATTGGGTGGTCATAAAACAACCATCCAAAATATCAGTAAAATGTATTAGAACACTACAGAAATTTAAGTCTTGAGCTAAAAATAACCTAACCACACAAAATATTAAAAATCTATCATTTGGTATCACCTGTGAAGCTGCTTTTCCAGCAGTAAGATTTTTTTTAAAGCAAATCCCAGCTGGTTGACAAATAGTAGAACAAATCTGGAAGACACTATTTAACTAAAATTTGCTAGTTTTCCCAGTTACCATGCTCAGCTACTAATCTTTTTTCTTTCTTTCAAGAAGTTTAATTCTCAATGCAGAAACACCAAAGATGTCAGGGGTGATTGTTATTGGGGTAGAAACAATTGCAATTTGCCATCCAAGGTAGCTGAAATTAGCTGTAATTTAAAAGAAAAGAGATACAATTAGCTTATATATCAATGGGCCAAAACACCCTGGAAAAACTATGTTATGAAACATCCACATCAGTGGTGGGATTCAACTTTTTTTTACTTCTGATTCTGTGGGCGTGGCTTGGTGGGCGTCTCCACTCCAGGGAAAGGATACTGCAAAATCCCCATTCCCTCCCAATCAGCTGGGACTCAGGAGGCAGAGAATAGATGGGGGTGGACCTAGTCAGAGGTGGTATTTACTGAACTGCTCAAAATTTCCGCTACCCGTTCCCCAGAACTGGTCAGAACCTGCTGAACACTACCTCTGATTCACATGAAAATGAAAGACTTTATATCCATTTCAACATATGGTCATGAGCAACAAAGATTATCTGGAAAAGTAGCCTACATCCTATGAAACACAGACTACAGCTATGATGCATGAAATCTTACTGAAACATTTTTCTTCTCACAGCTGCAGAATTGAAAAAGGCAGCAGGGATTTTCTTTTCATCATTGAGATTAGACTGGATTAGAATTCATTACACTGCTTTAAATTAATTATGTTGCCATAATGATACCAATTTTTTGTAAGCTTCTTCATGGCCTTATATAGTTATACTGCATAGGAGCATACTAAGTATTCTCATTGAATATACTGTGTATCACATGCCTTTTTTCTACTGAGTAGCATATATGTGTCCTTATTATTCACTTCTCAGTTCATAACAGCCTTGTTGAGCAGGTTTTATTATGATATCCTATTTGTCCCAAAGTCACCCAATGTACATTAGTATTCATCTGGAATTTGAATCCAGGATCAGAACTAGATAATATTTGAATAACAGACCATCCAGATATTAGAAATAGGCAGAGCTGTAGGCTACTTGAAGACATGTTTCAGAAGAATATAGGGGCAAATCATTTATTTCATCTTCAGGAGTCAAATTTGATTGGAACAAAACTTGACCTTGCTTTATACTTTGATCTAAATCAAATAATACAGCTGACTCTTACTTATGGAAATACATTGGAATTAGGTTAGTCCTTCATTAGACTTTGGACAGAACAGGATTCTGCCAAACTGAAGCAAAAAAAAAAAAAAAAAAAAAAGTCAACGTCCTACTGTGAATCTGGATTATTCTGATATTTTGTGAAGAATTTGGAAAATCAAAGGCAACCAGAACTGATGTGTCTCCATAACTTCCAGTACTATTTTCTCAGATATAATACAATATATAATATTGCTTTTAATATAAAGGAAACATCAGTGAGAAGAAATGAAGAAGAAAGCATTGGAGATGTTCTTTTGTGACTAACTTAACAAATCAATCTTCCTAAGTCACAGAGGATCCTTGTACTATAGGTCTCTAACCACAGTGCAGGGTGAGATTCACTGACATGATATTTATACTTCTGTGCTCTCTACAAGTCCCTCTTCTAACCAGGATCATTTAAAGTGTTAAGTATTTTTAGTTTTAGTTTTTAGTTAAGTTTTTTTTAGTTTTAGTTTTTCTGTATTTCTGACTCTTAAGACAAATTGCTAAAATTGGCCCCAACAAATTTTAGTTGTTGCTCTTATATAAATCTCTGTGCAGTATCTGCTGATATTGTGACACACTTCAAGATTCAGAAAAAAAATAGTCTACAAATCACAATTTAAAAGCAGCCTGTATCAAAAATAAGAAAGATACAGAACCTTCTTCCTACATTTTTATCTTTAATTGGAAATGTTTAGTCACCCCAGAAATGAGATGAATTATGCATACACATTTTATGTCTATGTATCAAACTTAAGCAAAACTAGTTTCATTTTCCTCCCCGCAATTAATGGTTAAGCTGAAAGCTAACCTGAACGTTCCTGAAGCAAAGTTATCTGTCAAAGTCATGTTAAAGAAATGATTCTGCCCGGTCGACAGGAGGTTCTTCAGCTGGACAGATGTGGGGGATGTGGGCTCTTAAGAGCCTCACATGAACCCTGTCTGATAAATCATCTGCGAGATCCTTTTTGGATCAGAACCCCCCTGGAGGGGGCGAAGAAGGGGCAGTGTCTCATTAGACCCAGGGGAAGGCAACAGGTCCCTCACAGGTTGGAGATTTGCCCTATGAATCAAAGTCGGGGCAGCAGTCTGCAACATGGCTGACAGGATGCTGGCTTCTTGTCAAAGCAAATGAACAGGAAGGTGTGGAAGAGATGAAAGACCGGTAAGAAAATTTATCTAACTCACAGCCATAAATCAAACCTGGAAAAGGCAAATAAATCTTGAGAATATAAATAAGATTGATGGTCAGGTTGGGATTTTTTCAAAAAGAAAGAAAAAAAAAGGGAAATGGAGGGTTGAAACACCAGCCCCCACCCCAAAAGCTATTTATTTGAAACAATTTCGGACAGAAAGGGAAAAGCAGAAAAGTGACAAACCCACTCAAATATAAACTCTAAACTTGGTTTTGGATTTGAAATAGAAACCAAACATTCCGAAGGATTTACACTGTTTGATATTAATATAATTAATTAATATATCTTAAGCAACTCCAAAAAAAAAGCACTTCTTCTCACTGATAACCTAACCCTGACTGTGCAGGAAGTTTTAATTAACCAACTGCCATAAATCAGAATATGGAAAAGTAGGAGGCAAAGAGAAATACCAAAATCTGGCTGTTTTGCAAGTTTGTTCCAAGTGAAAAGATTAAGATTGCCCCAGCTTCTCTTCCGGTTTGAATTAAATTTAAGGTGGACCAGAATCTCAAAATAAGACTTATATAACTAACTGCAATTTTGGAACTGGAAGTACCAAAGACCAAGATGGCTCCCATTGTTCTTCCCCACAGCAACTGAAGTAGATAAATTTAAGATGGAACAGAACTCTGAAATAAGAACTGTATAACTAACTGTAACTTTGGAACTGGACATCATAGAAAACTGGGAATTTGAAGAACTATGTGAAATTATAAAAAATGTGCATAAATCATTAATATCAAGCCTAAATAGAATTCTGAATCCAGACAAGCAGATATCTAAAGGAGAATTCAAAGAAGAAGGGGGGAAAGACAAGGAAGGGGTAGAAATGGAGAGAAATTAAAAGTAGACAAAAAACTCCATTGGTCCTGGCAGTAGTGTAGGGAAAATTGTAAAAAGGGGAGGTGTCCCAACAAAAGAGAATAAAAAGCAGACAAAAGTGGTTTGGGAGGTTGTTAGTGGCATAAGGAAAATTGAAGTAGGAGACTATGCCCCAACAAAGAGAAATATAAAATATCCTTTTGATGGTGACCTGGGGAAAATTGAAGAGAGTGGATGTGTCAAAATAAAGAAAAGGGAGAAAACAGGAACAGAGATGTGGGACAAAAGACTGACTAGGAAAAAAATCAGATAACTAGAAACTATTATATGGGAAAATATAAAGATAAGGGCTTTATTCCTAAATATGACAATAAAATGAAGTTGCTAACTGGTTGAATATGATAATGGAAATATAGCTAAATAAAGGTTAAAATATATGGAATAGATAAATATGAAACTGATATGGGGAGGTTGTAAAGCAAAAGTTTGTGATCCACTTTTATACATGATAATTAAATTGAGTTGCGAATTGATTGAATATGACAATAGAAGGACAACTAAGCATGGGTCAAAATATATGAAACATGGACATATATAGAACTTTTAAGATGATGAATAAAGTGAGATGTTTATCACTTGTTATTTTATATAATAGATTAAGGGAAGTGTAATGAATATTGAACAGCAAGGATTGCCATCTAGAGACAATTAAGGGTAATCTAATCCAAGATATGGAAAAATGGAGAGGGAACATGAAATATACCTACAATGGAAATTATTGAGATTAAAAGACAGAATCACAAATTGGGGGCATGTAAGGATGTATAATTATATAAAGATAATGATGGGAATAGTGGGGAATTGTAACCAGTTGTACATCTCGGCCAAAATTCGGCTGCGGGGGGGGGGGATTAAAAGTATAATGACTATATATGTATACTTTGCTGTTGTTATATTTTTTACTAAAAAGGAGGAGAATATAGGTTAAAATTAAATATGTATATTGAAAAGGAATTATAAATACCATCAACATAAAATAGAGCTCGCTCAGAAGCTGAAATACATCAAATAAATGAGATGAAGAGTGGGAAGTAGAAGAGACAGTTAAG